AACAAAAGTTGTCAAATGTCTTCTGGTGTCTTGTGTGTTCATTCGTTCACGGTTAGTCAAATGTCTTTATTATGTCGCCATCTCCCCCCTCAAAAAAAAAAAAAAAAAAAAAAGAGATTGAGAGACAGAGTGAAAAAAGTCTGACGGTCAGTATTTTCATCATCACTGTCACTTCTAGTCTCGAAAGTTCACGTCCCTTCGTCACTCGTCGCGTCACTTCACGTCAAGTTCATCTCTGAAACCGTTCCTTGTCCACTTCTCTCTACGTCGCGTCCATCTTCGCCACAAAACTCGAACTCCTCCAGAACATGTCACACGCCACGCGGAGACACGCGCTGACCCAACCCACGCGCACAAAGGATTTACTCCCGCCATTCCTTCAGCTTCCTGAGGAGTAGACGCCCTTCCTACTCTCCCTACTCCTCCTCCTCCTCCTCAAGGTCCTCGTGCGTGTACTTCTCGATGGCGGCGCTGACCATCTTGGTGAGGAACTGCAGTGCTGAAGGACTCTCGAGGGACCTTGCAGAGTCCGCGCGCTTGTAGGAGGTGCCTGTGCTGTAGCCTCCCGAAGAGTATCCTCCAGAGGAGTCGTAGGATTGGTAGGTGGAGGGTGCGGGGGCGGCGGGGACGTAGGTGGGGGTGGCGGCGTAGTAGGTAACGGAGTCCTCATAATCACCGTAAGGCTCGAACTTCTTAATGTGCTCTGGAAGGTTGGAATGTCGTTAGGATTTTGGGGGGTATTTTAGGATTTTTTTAGGATTTTGGATTTTTTTTTTTTTTTTTAGGATTTAAGGATTTTACCATTTTTTGTATTTAAGTTTTAAAGTTATATTATTTATTTGTTTACCAATGTATATTAATTTATTGATCCACGACACGTTGTTTCACAGCTTAGAACTATCCAGCGCGACTTACTGAGGATGAGAGCCAGCAAGATGACGCCCGCAATGTTGAGGCCGAGAATGGGCGCGAGGAAGAACCCGGGCGCCAACCCGCCCACCAGGCCGCCCAGACCGCCCAATCCACCGAGTCCACCGAGGCCACCTATGCCGCCCAAGCCGCCCAAACCGCCGAGGCCTCCGAGCCCTCCCAGGCCGCCGTCGCCGCCGCCCCCGAGGTGCTCCAGTCCTATCGGCAGAGGTTTCGAGATCGTGATGGTGTCGACGGGGTCCACCTGGTTGCCGCCGCCGTTGCACGACCAGCACCCGGCCCCCGAGCGCCCCACATTGTCCTCGTCTGTGTCTTTCGGGGCGTCGTCCACCTTCAAAGGTCAAGGGTCGGGGGTTAAAGGTCAGAGGTCAAAGGTCGGGGGTTAAAGGTCAGAGGTCAAGGGCGATGAAGGGGAAACGAGTAGGCAAATAAACAAGCGACAAGCAGGGACTGGATAGGTGAAAAACGGTGATAAGCAAGTGATAAACGCAGATTAAGCGAAAAGAAGGGAAAAATAAGCAAATAGGCAGCTCATCAAGCGATAGGGAGTAAGGAGGAAGGATCAAGCAAGGAATAAACAAGGAACAAGCAAGTATTAACAAAGTGACAATCGCATAGACAGCTTTAAGTTTCGATGTACAAAAAGAACATTAATTGATAAACGAATGATAGAAATAAGCAAGTGATAAACATTTGATAAGCAAATGATAAGCAATTTATAGAAACTGATTTTTTCATGAATCAAAGAAAGCAATCTAATGGCATGATCTTGCTTTGGATGAATAAAAGAAAAATAATCTAATGGTACGTTCTTGCTTTGACAAAATCAAATTAAATAAATCTATTGAAAACTGTGGAATCATGCATGTCTTATCTCCCAGCTTGAGAAGGAAAGGTAGATCAGTCTACTTATATATTAACAAAATAAATAAGTCCAAAGGAAACACGAAGAAAATACATTTACTATTGATCTGAATACCATAAGCAAAGAGGAAACGGTGAAGTGCTTGTGTTCAGAAGGTAAGAGTTTTCAATCCAAAGAAAAAGGGAATTGAAGAGTCTATTGAAGTCAGGAGAGTAAAGAATGTGTATTTATATTTTTTCTCGGTCGGAGTCTATTGTCAAGTCGTGCTTTACAATGTTTATTTTGATTATATATATAAAGGATAATGTTCATTCTCTCTTCTCTCTCTCTCTCTCTCTCTCTCTCTCTCTCTCTCTCTCTCTCTCTCTCTCTCTCTCTCTCTCTCTCTCTCTCTCTCTCTCTCTCTCTATCTGTATATCTATCTATTACACACACACACACACACACACACACGCACACACACACATACACACACACACACACACACACACACACGCACACACACACAAACACACACATGCATTCATACAAACATACAAACAAACAAACACAAACAGGTCATATATATATCTCACCAACAACCGTAATTGAAAAGCGATCAAACCTCACCTTGTTGCTCTCTCTTGCCACCGCCGACCCGACCACCAACATTGCAACGACCATAAGAGCAACTCGAGACATCTGTTTATAGACAAAAGAAAAAAAAAAACTTTATTAGAACATGTGTAGGATGAGAAAAATTCGAAATATGATAAATAGAAGAGAAGAGAGATGGGATTTATTGAGTATAATAACGGTGGTTTTGATTCACATTGTTTTCTCCTATGATAAGATGTCAAGTCAAGGGATAGATTTCATGAGTACCTGACGAGCAATCCTTCTCAGGTTTAGACACTAAGTTCCTTTATTAATCAAAAAGTAAAACCAAATGGAATCATCACACACACAAAAACATTGCTCGAAATTAAGAACAGCTTGTTGCAAATTGCATAGCATAGCCTTATAAGGACCACACCACATACTGCGGCCTCCAGACTATCCAAGAAAGGCAAGGTACTGAGGCACGTATTTGGACACGTTTCGGAGTTAATCTTTAAACCTTTACACACCTTTGTTTGAGGTTTCATTTTCTAAATTGTTATTTGATTTGATGACATGAATGATATTCCTTTTAATGCTCTTTTTTAATTCTTGTTTGAGCTTTGTGTCTTTGTAAGGTTTACTTTCAGACGAATTAGAATCGAATATTTGGGTCTTAGTTTTATCATAAATTTAACAATCGTTCCATGATCTTTAAACCATGTGGAACTTTCAAACAAACAAACCAATTAGGTGACCTAGCTTAATATCTAAATGAACGGTACACACCAATTTGATATCTCGACTCAAGTTTTAAATCAGAGAGTGAACACAGTAATCACTCTAAAAAAACGAAAGAAAAGAAAAAAAAGTACAGGGTTTAGCGTAGCATTATCTGCGCCAAAGATACAAATTTGCGCGCATAAATTCGATACCTCGCTTCTTACTCTGCCGAACTATGTAGTTGAGCCTTATGAACAAAGAATTAGAAAATGACGTTTTAGTTTTCGTAAGTGACAGGGAAAAACACAGAAAGAGATAGATTGATAGAAATATATAACTCGATGAAGAGTAAGTAGATATCTATCGATAATTAAAAGAGATACAAATACTGTAGATAGATACTTTACATTATATACGTATAAAGGTTAACGGACAGACAGATAGATCATGGAAGTATAAATACAGCAAGGCACAGACGGTGATATAAACACTTAACATACACAATATATGAAATATCTAAATAAAAAAGTGTTATTTGCATGTTACAGCAATACAGCCAGGCAACGATGTCTTGTAGCGCGCGTGCAAAGTCCGCAGAGAAAATACACGTAAAGTTCTCAACCTTTCGTCCTTTCCAGAACCAGTACACGCCAGTAGCCAGCAGCAAACACGCAAGGAACATGTTCGAGTTATCACTATTATCACAGATCTTGCGTGTTATGACAAAGGGATTGGGGTGGATGGGGTGGGGAAGGAGGGAGGGGAAAGGGGGATGGGAGAAAGGAGAAGGAGAAAGAGGTAAGAGGGAAGGGGGAAAAGGAGAAGAAGGAAGGGGAAAAAAGAGAAGGAGAAGGGGAGAGAAGGAATTGGGGAAAGGGAGAAAGGTTAAGGGAGAGAGAGAGGAAAGAAGGGGAAATGGGGTGGATGAAAGAGAAGAAGGAAGGAGGAAGATGCAAAGCCGAAGAACGAAGGTCAAGAAGGATAAGGAAAGCGAGAAAAAGGAAAGAGAAAGAAGGATTAAAGAAGAAAAAAGAAGAAGAAGAAGAAAAAAATATATATATGCATGACGCCCCACATGCAACTACAAGAAGGAAATGAACGGTTCCAGCGCCTGTCATGCTCTTCACCAAAGGACGCCGAAGAGGAATCACTCACGCACAACAGCCTGGCTATTGATTGCATGACCATTCCTCCGCATGCACGCAAAACACCGAGACTGCATGACGCGCACACGACAGAACATGAGATTCCACCACGATCAAGTTGCGGATCCAAGAAGTCGTGTGAGCTGTAGTGTAAGAACGACACCTTGCGGGAGAACTTTGGAAGCGACTTGGAAGTAAAGCTTAGAGCAAAATGATAATAAATCTTATAGAGAAATGGTTAAAAAAGTCGATAAACAAATAGAAACAAGGCGTAGAGGGAAATGGAGAATCAGAAGAAAAGACAATATTAAGAGAGAAAGAGAGAGAGAGAAAGAGATACAGCGACAGGGAAAGCAGAAATAAAGAGAAACATAATCAAAACAATGAACCAGACATGCAAAATAAGAAGAAAAAAATCACATCAGACACCAAACAAACAAACGAGCGACAAAAAGCAACAACAAACACCCGCAATGCACAAACGAGTAATAATAAACCATTAACCGACCACAAGGCAGGAACGAGCGGCCGGAGAGAGAAAGGGGAAGCACCAGGTGGGCGGAGGTGGGCGGTGTCGAGTCCGTTTGGCCATTAGTTAAACTCCTTGACGCCCAAAATGACAGGGAAGGTAGGGAAGAGGGAGGGGCAGGGTGGGAAGGAGAGGGGAGAGGGGGGAAGGTAGGGAAGGTAAGCGAAGAGGGGGTAGGGTAGGGAAGAGACGAGAGGGGGAAGTGTAGGGAAGGAGAGGGAAGAGGAGG